GCGGTACACCGGCATACCTGGGCCGAATGCGTATAATAGGACAGTTGGCGCTCAACAATCCCTCGAAACTAGAAGATATGTGCAGTTTGCAAGTTTGCAACTTACTCGCTTAGATCACAGTGATCGTATACCACGCTTACAATTAGATCCGAGCATTAAACTTCTTAGAGATTTCTCAATTCGCGAACAAGTTAGTTGCTGACCTTCGATGTTAAACTTACTTATGGTATATGACATGTGTATTGGTTCCAACGACGGCATGGTTTCTGGAGCCATAGTCTGAGCTGCTCATTTTGGTTCGAGTACTTCCGAGCGAGAGCTGAAACATAACTGCAATGACATCATTGCTGAAACTAAGGTGCAGATAAAGGAGACCGACAATGGATTCTGGACATTGCACCCGAAATGTGCTGCGAAATACCAGCATAATGAAGTTTTCAAGTATCTTCAATGAGCACTTTTCGTGAAATATGTCTATATTAATTCCTAGGCAGCCTATTCCCCTGAAACAAAGGGAACCAACGACAGGACAGCGTGGTTGGGATCGCCTGGGAGAGGCTGCAAGAAGCGGAGGAGCGCTGCCCAGGGCTAGGATGGCAGTCTGCGAAGACTTGATGGTGCCGCTAGAAAGATCAGGTACGACTTTGGTAAAATGTCGCTCGCTCAAGCCGTCCAAAAGAACTTCAGAGGACCTGCTCCTCGGAGCGATGTAGGTGCCCTCTATGAACTTGGCCATGAACATCGCTTCGTACGAGAACATGACGACATCGCTTGTGGTTTCGTTGCCAAAATTGGCCAAAGCAGAACGGATGGAGAATCTGCGGAGGGTTCGTATAGGGTATCTTGAAGGCAGTGCCCGCATTCATCCCACACCCTCTCTGAACATCGAAGCCCTACTTCTAAGGATGCAGGATGTACTAGTTTCAGAAGAGGCAAGAGGATAGCCTTCCGCTGGTGAAGAGTCGGTCGCCCCGCCCACCCGGCGACCACAACGCCCAACTTTTATTTCTAACCAGTCGGCTTGCCGAGCTGACGCCGGCGCGCCTTCTTCTGTGATACGGCCCGGCTTCGCCGCGCTTCGCCTTCTTCCACATGTATGTATACCCAACTAACTATCCGGAATTTCTTTTATCTGAACAGATGACTAACGCTCCTTTACCAATCACATCTTAACTTCTGTTTCCAACATTATTACTGTAAATGGAACTGTGGTAGGAAGCGATGATGAAGTAAAGAGATGGAAAAGCAAAGTATCAATCGTGGCGAGCCGACTGGTATAGAATGTACTTACGACGACCAGTGGTCAAGCACTGAAGCTCTCAGTAAAAACAGGCAGCTCGTGCTTGAGGGAGCCCTCGCCCACTGGGGCGGATCTCTACACACCACAGACACGCTCAACTCTCGCCATATGCTTCTTTTCTCACAACTTTTACTGGTCTCTGAAGTCGCACAGATCCGAATTATAAAATCCCTAAAATCGCGTAGCAAGCACTGTCCATCTTGAGTACGGCCCGACCATTTTGAGGATGTCTGCCCCGTTTCATCTACTAACTCCTTGTGAACTTCAGTCTAATGTTCCCGGCGCATATGCTGCTAGCAACTCGTGGATTTCTTACTTTTGCCCCCTCCCACCACCTCGTCACCTGCCTCGCCCACAATGCGCATTTCTATCTCACTTTAATTTTTGAGGTCTTGCACATCTTTGCTCAGCTTTTGCCTGTGTATGGACTGCTCTGGGAACGTTTCGAAGATATTTCGCTCGGCACTGTCCAGCCCCCCGCGCTCCGCCCACCTCGATGCACGCTCCGCTCTCAACGGTGACCATTTGGGGACCATAATTCACTTTTTCCAGATGTCTTAGGAGCTTTGGAAGCGTTTTACGAATTTATATATCTGTCGCCTACCTCGATGCAGCTCCGCCCACAACGGGTGTACCCCGCACTTCTCAACGTGACTCACTGCTGACATTCATCCACTTTTTTCAATGTCTCGAGTGCTCCGGATGTGTTTTACGAATTATTTAATTTGGCTCCGCCCACCTCGATGCAGCTCCGCCCACAACGCTTGTGCCTCGCACTTCTCTATGGGTAGCCCTTTGCTGACATTAACCCACTTTTTCCCGGTGTCTGGAGAGCCTTGGAAGCATTTTACGAATTTTTCTAATGGCCCCAATGCATATCCGCCCGCAACGGGTATGCCTCGCACTTCTTAACGGGTGACCACTTGGGGACCATGATCCACTTTTTGCGTCGTCTGTTAACGTTACACCACTTTTCCCCATCTCGGGACTGCTGTGGAGCCGAATTATGAATTTCTTCAATGGCATTGTTAATTTTCGGCGCACGCACCGCCCACTGTGGGCAGAGTTGCATGGATCACGGGTGCTATCTACATCATGTAACATGCCCTACCCATCCCGACCTTGACTCCACCCTCCAAGTTGTTCTTCTGGTAGAACCGAATTTCCGGACAAACAAACAAACAAACAAACAAACAGACGTAGCATAATATATGTAGTGGGTGATGGTGCCTAATGGTGGGGTTGTTCCGCTGCTGCTTCCATCCACATCAAATAGTGAGAGTGAGGTGACAAGGGAAAACAGCTCATACCAAGGAGTGGACTTGTGCGACCATGCCTTCGATTTGCCTTATGCACTTACAATTAGATATAGTAGGACAATTAAACCGCAGTTCGACATGGGGTTCCATATAGGGAAGTTCTCATGATTTTTTTTTTAGATTTTTCTTCACTAGTGGGTTACTTGCTACTGTTTTATTACTGTCTGAGCCGCAAAACTCATCAAACTAGAACGCGGCCTTAGCCTCCAATATGGATAGTATTTGACCCACAAATAGACCACTTTTAAGCGCAAAATCAGCTTTTCGACGGGAGTCATGCTTACCGTTGTGTTCATCTTATTGGTGCGCCCCTCCTTTCGAAAGTGGCTGGAAGGACGAGCACATCAATAGGGAAGATACAATGGTAGGTCCGACTGCTCCCATTATGCTAATGTAAACTGTTCCTATGAATGTGTATCGCTTTTCTCGCCACAAGTGGAAGTAATGCTACTCGAATGGTGTTCGAAGTGATGAAAAAGAATTAAGGATATACCATGCTTTTTAGTTGCTCCTCGTCAATAAACTGCATATCGTCGCGATAAATGCGGAACGGCAGCTTATCGAGTGCTCTCTTTTCTCTGGAAAAGTCAAATGGTTGACGACTACACCACCTCTTCCAAGCACAACTTGAAACTGTTCCAGTAACTTACACAACCCTGTGAATGAGGTAGGCGGAGCAGAATCCGAGGATCAACAGAACGATGAGAATGATCCCTATGATGAGCAGAGTGAAGTCGCACCTTTCCCCACGGAACCCGCAAGCCGGCTCGTCCCTTGGCATATGCCGGTCAACTGACGGCCAGAAATCACGCAGCAGATCGGTCACCACCTAAAAATTCTTTACCAAATGTGGTGTTCTTTGAAATTCAGCAAATTTCAGCAAACGAAACGAGTTCAGCGATGCATTTATAGTAAATCTTGGCAAGACTCACAATATCATAGCAGCCACTTCTGTTCGCTACTCCATCGCAGTTTGGAATCATCGTGGGTTCCATATGAACCATCGACGTCACCTGAAAATTTCTAGATACACCCAGCGTAAGCCCCACTGAATTTTGCTGTGTATTGAACGTCACGTGATTATATACAAAAGAACATTCGCACCGGTGAGTTTTCTTTCTGAAATACTTCAAAAAATGTTTCGTTACACTTACTCCACCTCATTTTTTGAAGCTGTCATGTCATAACGAGATTTTGAAACCAACCTGGTCCGAATTCGGAGACACGAAGAAGCCTCGATACAACGGCGCTCGTTCAGCACGATCGTCCATCGACACAGTCCCTGATGCGATACCCGACGATGCAAGCATGCCTGCAAAAATACACACAACAGTTTGGAGCTTACATTTAGAGGGGGCATTTTGCTAGTTCTCATAGATGTGAGCACCTACACACTCTTGTGAAGCACGATATGGCTTTCAGTGAAGCTTGAGCTTGATCACCTTGTCAAGAACTGTAGCGTAGAAGGCCTGTACTCATGCTAACAGATAGCCATACATAGTGAAGCCATACTATTTCGCAAGTTTAGAAAGGCTTACAGGTTTTACCAAGTCGAGGAAACTGAAGAAAAACAGAACCATCAGAACGCCCTCCCTCCCTCCCCCTCAAAGCGAACGGTGCCAAAGAAAGTGAATCTGAGCTTTTGAATAGATTTAGCAATATATATGATGATATTGGACCTTACGCAGTTCCGAAGCTTGGTAAACAGCTTGCAAAGCTTAACCTACGAGCGCATTTGAGAACCAGTGAAAAAGCTGTTGCTGTGTTTGAACTTTTTGCGCGCATCGCGACCATGCCACGTCTCTTTCGCTCCTGACGGGGTACAGCATCGTGATGTGTGTGGAGGTGTAGGTAAGACTCCCCACCTCGGAGGAAGGGTGTCAGTACGACTCCCGTGCCCTTCTCCAGCACCGACCCACCAATTCCCCACTTTTCCAGTTTTTCAGAAAGTTTCCCCGTCGAGTGGGAGGGTATATATTACACATGAATAGGAAAAATCACGCAAAAGTCGACAACCGGAAAACCAACGCGACAAATTTCTCTCAAAAGCATACATAATACCCCCTTCTCTCTCCCAACGACCAAATACGACCCTTCTCCCCAGAGAAAAAGTACAACCCTCCGCCCACCCCTCCCTATTGTGCTTCACACAACGATGCTGTACCCTGGCTGCTTGATTGCTCGGTCATGTCAAGGGCGCTGGGTTTGGCACAGTGTCATCCCGTTCTCCACCACTTATTGTAGTCTGCCTCGCTTCCACGATTGGTGCAAAACAGGCTGGCGCCGCGCCATATCCACCTCCTGTGACACGCCTGCGTATCCGCAGTTAATAAAACTGTAAGTGCGCTCTATACCCCAGAATGTTGTGTACAGAACCATAAAATTGTCTTGATAAACCACTGAGATTAGTCAGTCATAGAGTTGGTGATTTTTTTCAAACGTGCCTATTAAAAGTAGGGATTGTTCTCGATTAAATGTAGAGTACCTGAGAATTTGAGCCTGCGCGCTTTGTGGTCGCACATTTTCCGGTCGGTCCACTTAAGTTCTTGGCAGCGCAGTTTCATGCATTACTGTGTCTTCTGTGGCTGCCAGGCAGTACAGTTGAGAGATCGTAATACATTAAGAATGCCATGAAATACTTTGCCTGAATGCAGTTCCATTTTTTAATACTGTTCATACTTTTCAATTAATTCTGATTTTATTGGCAAGGCAAAAAGCGCTTCACTTCGCAAAGGAGTCGCATCTTGGCATGCGCCCGGAAAAATAATGTAGATCGCAGGATTTCTAGTTATGAAACTTGTACCGAAGCGCTAGTGTTCATTGTAAGTGATTTGCCAACTGGCTTGTAGACAATGTGAACTCACCCCCCAAGACGATCCTTGCCATGTGCGAGATGAGTGAATCCGCAGTTGCAGTAATGTGCCACTTTCAAAAGTGCACGGGGAACGCAGTTATGAGGGAGTGGTGCACGAATGCCGTCTCCATACTCCGTCCGTGCTATCCTTAACCCATTCGTGACAATGTCCGCCACTGGTGGTGGACACCGAAATGTCCACTTCGGACCATGTCCACCATATGTGGCGGACGGGCTTTTGTTGGTGAAATTTTATAGGAACAGGGTCGAGCTCTTCGGCAGGGAACTGGGTTGCCAAGTGTTACAAGTCTTCATATCCTTTGCTGATTTATGCAAATAGGCCAGCCAACCGAGCGTCTTCAGATATAAGGGGTTGCGCGAGTAGCGATCCGAAAGCTAGCAGCACCTAGCTAAAACTCATCTAAAAAACTGTCTGGCCTTGAAAAATTGTCGCAGGGGTTACGTTAGTGTCGCCGTACCATAATATGACCTTTCCGTTCTGGCGCGGCCGGTGGCCTCGCCATTGAGCACGATGGTGAGGGCGTGCCAATTGTAGGCGCCACACTTTTTTCATCCGAAGCAGGGGGCGCCAGAGGGGTGCCGCCGCCAACTCACACTCACCTCTTTTTCACAAGAACTTCAGCAAAAGTTACTAGCTATGGCTTTTTGTTGGATTCTGGTTGCGAATTATAAGCGTCCATTAAAAGTGCCAGCGGCCATACTGGCGCCAATTTCGGTTGCTGTCACCTTCCTCCACCTAAATGATGTTTTGGGAATAGGATACTAGGGTCCATGGTCGGCCGGGGGGGGTCCTTGGTCATTGGGGAGTATGACATTTAATTTTTGAGCAGGGAGGCGTGTAGCGCAGGGCACGTAGGGTAATCATATGCGATGCGGAGCTTCAGCTTCCCTGTAGAGGAAGATTCACCTGCTCTTTCCAGCTACAGGCCTGTTGGCAGTAGCAGTTACAGTGGGCGCTGCTTGCCAATTGTTGAGCCGCTCTGCCAAAGGCATAAAAACGCGAGTCTTATTTGTGATCAGGCTTCCCTCTCCCCCTTCATTGAACCATGTTGAATTTAACACATTGGCGCCAAATGGCACCGGAGGGCAGACTAATGTCATTTTTGTGACCTGAGGATTAACCCCTCCACAAACTTGGTCCAGTAAGAAAGAAAATTTCGTGAACAAGTTGAACAGTGCTAAATTTTTAGTGAGGGGTCACGAGGGACCGTGTCCACCACTGGTGGCGGACACTTGCTGAGAGCTCGCAAATGCTCCGGTCCGAACGAGCCGTTTTCGAAAAACGCGCCTGGTCACGAATGGGTAAAGATGCAGCACCTGCGTCGATACTAAATTCTCGCAGCGAAACAGGCATTCAGCAGTAGAGAAAAACCAGAAGTGAGAGGGCGCAGACAGGTAGAGCGTTTGGCAAAGATTAGGTGTGCGGCGGACTCTGGAGACGGCACGCGGGTATCAACACCCTCCAGCTCCGTTTCCGTAAACTCCTTATCGGAAAAAGTGCATGCTACTGCAGCTGCGGACCAATTCATCCCAAACACGGCAAGGATTAGGATCCGCGCGTGACTGTACGACTGTGTATGAGGTGTCCTAGCGGAATACTCCGCTCTATTGGGGGCACCATGGCATCTGAGTACAACGATCCAGTCGGAGCATTAGGCCTTATTAAGTTACTCAGCTAAGCGCAGTTACGCGGTCCGCCACGTTTCCTCTCGAGAAAACCAACCGCGATTACGTTTTTATAATCTCAAGGGCTGTTCTATGTATCTAAATCTTGACGGAGAGTGGCAACCACGAGTTGGCAAGGGATGGCCGCTCGTAGAATTGTCCCACCTTTCGGTTCTTAAACAAGCGAACTACTTGTGTGTACATAAACAAATGTGAACGACGTTGCGGCCATTTCCGTTTAGGACCGTGCCTGTGGTCGCCTTGCTCGTCCTTCTCTTTCGCCATCCATTGTCTCTTGTCTTGCCCGCGCAAAATTGTCTCGTCTCTTCAAATATCCGTCTAATGCTAGGGCTGTTTCAGCAGAGTTTTCGGAAACCCGACGACTTCTTTTCCCGTTAGGAATTCATCTACCACCTCCAGAATTCCTGTTTGGACCCACCGGCCCACGACTGCAAACAAGGAACTGCCTTTGAGGAATAGACGACTTTTCATTGACGTCAAATAGATCGTCAATGGCTAGTCTTCTCACGTCATTGGGAATGACAGGTCACAAAGGGCGCTGTTTGTCGACGGGGGGGGGGCATTTTGTACTACCATTGCTTCCCTAGTTCCGGTTTACAAATCTCACTCTGGTAAACTTGTGAACGCTTGTGAAGCTGGAGTAAGATCGTCTAGCCACCATCCTGAAACGTGTCAACTCGAGAAAAGGCTACCTAGATGGGTCGGCACATCTATGGAAAGCAGAATGCCCCCCGTCGACAAACTGCGCCGTTCACAAGTTTTCCCCTTATTAAAGAGTTAGATTACACGTTGTCACTTACCATTAGCTCTAAACGGCTACGGATCTGCGTTATACCTACGTCATCAAACCTCCCAGGCAGCAAAACAACTGAAACGGTATCGAAGCTGTTCCCATTTGCCACTTGTGGAAGGCTGATTCCATGGTATCAATGGTGCTGCCCTGAGCCGCGAATCTTGGGTAGAATTCAGCTAGTTTCCTCCACTTACAGATAGATCAACTCACTATGTCTACATCGGATTCGGTGAGTCCCGCTTCTTTCACTCTATCTATGAAAGGTTGAATAATTGAATTGTCGAAGCTGTTGACGTCATCGATCTGAAAATGGGCAAAATCGACTAGCACACATTTCTAAAAGTTTTCAAACCACAGTATTCTGTATGTATAGCAGGGTTTTACTCACAATTATAGAGTTGGCGTATTGATCCTTAATTTTCTGCAATAAACTCCCATCCGCACTCATCCACGGAGAACTGTCCTTAGCACCATCCTGAATCAATTTGTTGATCTTTTGCCACAGTTCAGCTAGGGGAGAGGCATTTGAGAATACCCCGCTGGGCAATGATACCAGCATGATAGTGAGAGACATCAGACTTTCAATAAACAAAAGAGGTAGACCTTCCACTTCGCCTTGAGGGAGTGCGAGACAATCGTCGCGCTGGTGGGCGAGGCCGTGAATTTGCGGCGTAAGAAGAGTCTATGATTCCTGCAAACGATAGGCGCGTGGCGCGGGGAATCTGCCCTGGCTGGGCTAAAAGCTGCGCCCACGTCACACGCCCTATCGTTCGCAGGGATTAGACAGTATAAATTTGCCGATGGCATTGTACTGCTCGCATCGTTTTTCGATACGTACAAAAGTCTGGAGCACCGGTCTATAACAGCGTCATCGGAGTACCCATAGTTCTCCTGAGCGTGACAGGCACTACCAACCAGCTCGCCGCACGTCCTATCATCGCGATTTCAAGCGCGACATCTGGACGATTGTCTTGCTACGTACCAGCTTCGTTTCTCCGCATAAATCACTGTTAGTAGGCCACGTTCACGCGCTAGCCACGAATCCTAATGATTCAGATGATAATAACGATTTTCACACGCAATTGTTTCTCTATAAAGACTTAGCATCTAATTGTGGAAGTTGCAAATACGACTGCGAGCCAAAGGATGTGGAATTGCCCTGGTCTCAGGAGAAGTAGCACGGTATGGGTGGGTGAACCGAATGATTCGTGGAGAATGTTTATTTTATAGATGAGAAATGGTGACTGTGTCTCAAAAGTCTCTCTTCACAGTCAGTGTCCCCTACCCCAGGTGATTTCGTTCATTTGCGAGTCTTTTGAGACACAGTTTTCTCTCTACTGCGCGAGTTCTCCATGTCGAACGGTTGACTTGGATTTCCTGATAAACAGCGTTTTTCATTCCCAGTCTGACGTGGAATAATTTCCCCATAAAAGGGGAAGTCATGATTACATCGAACATTCAGACACTCACTGCAGCGCAGACACAAAAAATGAATCTGGCATCATGATATTTTTTTAGCGGGGCGTATCATAACGTTCGTATCATTGTTCGAAAAGGATTGGACGGGAGACGGGCAAGACTATCGTAAATTGGCACTTCGTCACGCATGGCAATGGGCGCGACGTTTCCTCAATTTGCACTACCCTTTCGATTGGAGCATCGGATTTCATGTAGACAAGGACATGGTAGACACTTATGTCTATTTTTGGTCATACATTGTCTATTCTCGACCAATACCACCTAAAATCGTCGTCATTAGCGGGCGCGACGTCGCACGCGACGCCCACTGGCGCGGCGACTTACTACTATTCTCTTGCCACATACCCGGGTTGGTCGCTGATGCTGTTCGCCCCTACAAGCCCAACGATGCCAATCCTTCTTACATTAATCGAGATCGATGTAGTAAACGACGAGCACATCAGATCAAATTGTAAATAGTTCTCGTTGAGTGTTACAATTCTATAAAAATACTGCAAATATCACCTGCAACCAAGGCAAGACATATGCAAATTCGTTCACACTCATGCCCAGACTATTAGCAGCCGTCAAAAAATGGCGGGACGATTCGCGAGTGTTAGAGAAGAGGCAGATGACAACTGAAAAAACAAGCTAAAGCAACCGGCTCCCTAAATTGTGGAAAAAATTCTGAGAAAAAACTGATATCTGTGAATGCACAGGAGACTCACTACGTGCGGTCATTTTCAGCTCTTGAAGTAGTCCTGAGGCAATCATTGCTTTTGAATCAGCCCATTCGTCAAACGTTATCTGCAATGAGTTTGCTCCAATGCTTTGTTCTGTGCCCACTTATGATGACGAACGATGAAAACTGAGTGTGAAGTCAGCTGGTATTGTTGCTTTCACTGGTTTACGCCGTGCCATAGGCTTTTATTTGAAACTGTGAACAAATGTGCTTATTTCAATTATACAACACTAGCTGGTATGGTGTGCAACCGCACACATCCCATGGTGGCTCCATTGGACCTCCCTCGTTTCACTGACATCCATGCCCATACACAACTCATTCGCGCTATGCCCAATGCTTCTGGCATTTTTCCCCATACATGTATTGTAAGGCTACTCAAAAGCAGTTGGCACGATAATGCCCTAAGGACGAGCAGGATTAATATGCCTGGCAGTTGCCAGGCATTCCGGACCCTGAGCAGAAGCTGCGTAGCCGAGGAAGGTACCTTTATAGGGCCCCATCAAGCCATAACATACCGACCTGAACGCCCTACACGCCCGGTCGCCCATAAATGGACCGTGCCTGATGCTCGAATTCATTTGCGAAGCATTAGGGCATCCCATTCAAAAGCGTCAGTTTTACTCGAATAAAACAAAGAGGAGAATAGATAAAAAAGTAATATTTTGGCTTCAAGTTGAGTAAATCCCTCCTTCACCAATGACCCGCTCCCAGTGCCCCGAAAGCCTTTGGACCTCTGGTACCTTCGATTTTTCAACAAGTGCGAGTAAATTGCTGTTGATGCCAATTTCGGCGAATGACAAAACATTGTAGCGTTTGCCGTCGAGAGTACTCTCGACGAGAACAATTGGAATCGCTCGGCTTTATGTCGGGCGAATGGGGCGAGTCTCAGTATTGTTTGTGTCCCAGCACTGCCCTACAATACAGTTACTCGGGGTCTGGCACTATGACGAGCAACGGTGGCCTTCTTGTAGTTGTGTGGTATCATCCATTTGTCGATCTGATTGCCGAGGAACAGGCAATATACACCGACAGCGACGATTTTGTTCTCTGTATAGAGCCGCTTGAAAGCCACAGTGTGGGAATCTATGATGATCATCCACTTGCGCCCACGTAACTCCTCATGGTAGAACTCGGGCGGCTTCTCATCTGCATTCATACAAAATTGACGATTGTGAGTTTTGGCTCGAGGTCCAAGACCACCCATATTTCATCTAGGGCCGGGTGCGTTTTCACAGTCGTGAATGACATCTCATGCTGAGAACATTACTGCTAGAGGCATAGAATCGGTACTGCGTTCGTGCTTCTACAAGAAAATTAGGTACCCATGCGCACACCCTCTTGACCATCCTCAGTTTATCGGACATAACTCGGGCAGCAGCTGGGATGTCAGACTCGCGGGGAAGCTCGACAAAGGTCCAGGCTCTGTGATCAGACATTCAGCGCTTGACTTCATCCACCCTTTTTTCTTGTGCAGGATGAACATTATGGGACCATCCACGACAACAATTTTTTCCTTTCTTCCTTCTTCGGGCTCCTGAACCAAACCTTCCACCTTGTATTTCGAGAACACCATTACACACAACTACTGGTCCGGCGCCGGTCGAATTTGAGCAGCGCACTTCCCTCTTATGACGTCTGATTTGAAAATCGGGCGCTGATTTTCACCACTCGGGCTTCTTTTCAATTTCTCGAGAACTTCTTCTGTGGGTAGGTTCGCCAAATTTCACAGATACACAGCTTAAGGTACTAGCTTCCAAATGGTATAGTAGCCCGCTGCTCTATCCCCTTTGCTTTTCTGCCATTCCTCTATATGTGTCGGCACTTTTGAATGGGATGACCTAATATCATCATCATACCCTATATATAATAATAAAGCTATATATAAAGCAGAAGTTGTCTGTGTGTTGTCGGACCAATAGGAGAATAGGCTCCGCCCACAATGGGCGGGGCCTATATTCAGCTGAGCGGTGTCTCTTGAAAACGTCAACAAAACACTTAAACGCCGTCAACTTTGGGATGGGGGTGAGGGCATGTTGAAAATATACCGAATACACACAAACTAAGCCTCACACAATAGACGGGGCGTGCACCGAAGTGAGTAGTGCCAACGACAAAAATTCGTAAAATTCCTCCGGAAGATCACAGGGACCCGGGACAAAATCATTCTCTATGCACCACGTTAGACTACACCCACAATGGGCGTGGGGGCATACCCGAAGTGAGCGGGGCGTTTGTTCGGGCGGGCGGGGCCTAACGCAAATCTTCAAAATTCAGACCCGGAACTACTCGGGCAGCGGGAAAACGGACTCGAGTAAAAAGTGGGCAGGTAGATAAACAGAAGGAGGCACACCTGAACTGGGCGTGAGGTTGATCGAGCAGTGTTTGGATGAACCCGCTCTGTGATCGACTCGCATTTTGTTACAGAAAATTCGAGTGGGCTGCATTCTATGGGGGGGGGGGGGCGAGGGACGGGTAACATAAGTGAAGACACCCCAGCGAATGAGATGTGCGCCGAGTCGGCGGCGCCTGCTGCAAAAGTTCATAATATAGTCGCAAGGCAAGTGAGAATAGCAGTGAATATGAGGTCATAATCGAAAATTCATAACTTACTACCAATTTTTTGCATTTATTTATTTGTTTATTTACCTGCTATTCATTCTACAACAACTCAAATACCCATATACTTCCACTTCAGTTCATCCACTAACCATCCAGTACCGGCATTCCACCCCTCGCTTTTACGCAAGCTTCACAACCGTCCACTAGGGGGGGGGGGTAGGGGGGGTTTATACCAAATGTGAAACGGTGATCTGGAATAGCAAAACAAAATTTTTTTCTGTAGCCTCCTTATGCTACAGAAAAAAACGACTGGCCCTCAGTTTGGATGGCCGGGGACCCACTTCACACATAAGGAGGATCGCCCGCCGAAGCGGGCCATCCGATACAATAAGAAGCGAACGGATGGTTTCGAAGCGGCTGCGGCGCTGCATAGATATTAGGTTGGCGGGAAAGTTCTGTCACATTTTTTCAAATTAGACTTTCTTTTTACAGAGAGGCGTACAAGATCAAAATTATACAGCAATGTTATTGAGAGATCCTTGCCAGTTTTTGGACAGTTCGTGGATGCCATCGCTTAACAATGCACGCCGGCGCGACGCAAAGTTGGACATCATCTCAACTTTGACTTGGGCTCAAGTCGTGGAGGTTTTCTCGGCTGTATAACGGTTGAATACGGGAGGCGACTAGCAGTCAGAAAGAGCAATGTCTGGACTACACCGGTGCAAGGGGAGAGCCATCCAGCTCTATTGCATGAAGTACGGCTCGAACTTTTTTTGACGGGGTGTGCTGCACCAGCACGTTGAAGACGGACTGTGCCGATGGATTTTGCCCTCTGCTTGACGATTCGCTTCAGATCTCGTAGCTGCCTTGCGTACGGATTGACCGAGGAGGCAGCTTCTTCATCCAGTAGTTTCCCGACCCACCGCTATCTAGAGCTGAGTTTACAGGTCCCGAACCTCACTTCGTCATTCGAACCGTAGGCTCCCGCTCTGAAGAGCTAGCGTCGTGGAAGATTGTCTGATGACTGTAGACATTGTCCTTGTGCAGCTCCATTATTTCGGCGTCGACAGCTGCCATGCTGGCGCCAGGGTGGTAGAAGAAATAGTTTAAGGAAGCGCTTGAAGGGGTCGGTGCTGAAGGTAGCGGATAACATTCTTGTCCATAATGCAGAATAAGGATGAGCAGGAGCCGAGCCAGTGACACTAATAGAAAGATCAATCCTTAATGTATAAATGCTCACATTACCGGTTAGCCCTCTTCAGGTAATAGGCGAATACTTGGGTTCAAAAAAGTATGACAGAACTTTCCCGCCAACCTAATATATGGGTACATACACCGTACCTGGCGGTTACTGGCAAATTGCCTAGGGGAAACTCGTCCGAAATTGTTTTTTGAATCATTAGAAATGAAGGCTTTTTTCCGCAGGTTTTTGACCGTTTCACTTCGTTTTTTTCGTCATTTTTCCACTATATAGCGCCCTGCTAGCATTTTAGGCCGAATCCCAAATTATCGTGCCAAGCCTTTAACCTTCTCCGGAGTATCAAATGTAGCAGAAAAATTTGCAAGATAAAATGGCATGGGAAAGCCCGACAATGTGAACGATCCAGACACCTAAAAATGTGTCTGTTGAAGCTCAACAGTCGAAAACAACTTTACTCTTGACATGGTCGTTGTCGATATTCAGAAACGGATCTTTCAGGAAACGCCGGAGCGTGTAGATGGGCGAAGGCGAGCCTGTTGCAGGCTTTCTAAAAAGACTCCCTTATGGGAATGTTGGAAAGGTTTGCCCGCAGTCGCGTGTGGATTGCAGCACATATGTAGGTCGTCCAGCTATGCCTAGTCTCCCAGGTATCACCCTTGGTTATTGGCCCAGGTGGTTGTCTGAAGATACGGCTCGCCCAATATCGTTGGTTTGCTCATCTGTGTCCTTAGACGCAAAAATAGCAATACCTTTTTGATCACTTTGATTTGCCGTGCATGAAAAACTTCCTCGAAAGCAGTCGTGCGATCATATGCCAAGGTGCCAGTGTTAGTAACGATTGCTACCTAAAGTGTTACGGTTGTATGACTCTTAGCAGGCATCAATCGAGCAACGTTTGAAAATTTAAAAAGCTCAAACGAACCTTGATCCATCCGTAGTGACGTAGTAGTGCACAGGTGGCTTCTGCTAACGAGCTCGTAGTCCGTAGCTGTAATGGTAAGTTCTGACTGTAATCACCTAATAGGATTTTATAGGAGAGTTTTTGAATGAACACATAAATCGGGCGACAGAAGCTACTTTAGAGTTGTGAGACTTTAGAGGATTTATGGGCAGCGGTGGTGCGGGTTCTGGTGAGCAGTAGAGGATGAAAAGGGTAACCATCAAAACAGTGAAAAGAGCCAATAACAGCCGAAAATTCTACCTCAGAGAACCTAAGCGGTTGCCTTGGGCAGTGTAGGACTTATGCAACTGTGTCTACTAAGAGCTTTTACAAAAGGCAATTGCAGATTTGCATCCCTAGCAAAACAGTGAAATCTCACATCGTAGCAAGGTATTTCAGCTGTTCTCTACCTTCTATCCAGCAGAAATATGGCACATCTGTTGAGATGTTGGTTGAATAAAAATCACTTGCATCCACATTTCAGAGGGAGGATTTATTCATTTATTGGGATGTCAGCCAAAATGTAACTGATAGTGAGGAAAGGATCCACTATGAAGGGGAGGATTCATGAGTAAAAAGACCAAAACCACTTATATTTTGACTTCTACTATATCGACGGCCCACATCTCGGAGCAGTGTACAGCATCGTTGTGCGAAACACGCAGGGGGAAGGTCGTACTTTTCCGCTGAGGAGGGGGGGGGTCGTATTTGGTCGTTGTTGGGAGAGGGGGGGGGGTCGTATGTGGCTTTGAGAGGAATTTGCCGCGTTGGAAAAAAAATTTCCGGCTGTTGATTATTCGGTTTTTTTCCTGTTTCATGTGTACTATATACCTTCCCGCTCGGCGGGAAACCTTTGGGTGGAAAACTAGAAAATGTGGGAAATCGGGAGGTATGTAGGATTTAGGGAACAGGGGCGGGGGTCGTACTGAGGCATTCCCTCGGGGGGGGGGGGGGGAGGGTTGGGTCGTACTGGCTGTTGCTGTGTCCCAGAGGTGGAAAAGGCTTGGTGTCCACTCCATTTCAGCAGGACGTAAAATCGTGAAATTTCTGCTTAATATTTTCATTTGAGACAGCTGTTTTGTCTGTCCTGTGTGTAACAACTCACACTTACCCCAAAAGTCAATATTTTACCAGATGCGTCACTTCAGCGCGGTTCTTCCCTTTAGATAAGGGAAGAACCACGCCCTTCCTATCTACTGGATATGGTGTGCATTCGAAACTGTCTCTGATACTCACTGCATCACATAGTACTTCTGGACAGAAAGATAATATGTCTTCATGAGTGGAAATTACCCGGCACTTCCACAATTTGGAGAACAATACCAATAATCTTACCGAGACCCTAGCCAGTGTTGGGTATGCCTTCTTATCCGACAATGAATTCGAAGCTGCCATGTAGCCGATGACTGGTATGTTCCAGAAAGCTGCCATTCGTGCAACAGCGTCCATTTCTCAATTATCAATATGTTTTTCTGACGTAAGACATCAAGTGGACACGACCGTGAAAAGAATTTTTTTTCGATGACAGTTAGTTGTCAGCACATCATTCTGAAAAGGGCGACAAGTTTGAAGATTAATGGTGCGAAGCGCTCCGTCCACAGTCAGAACCCTTGCGAGAACTTTCCAGTTTGGCTACTCCACAACTGTTGTTCAATTGTTGACATTTCTTACTTGATTTTTCACTTACGGTTTTCCTCTTTGCTGGTAGGCATTTGGTCAGCAGTATGCTCACTGATATGTGGCCATTTGCTACACAATGATTGTTAGCTTTCGCAACCAATGTGGGGGACACTTTGACCAGTGATTCCAAAGAAACGGGTTATGGTGATTACTTATTTGGTAGCTAAGGTGGTATAGTAGCAAGTGGCACGCTTACAAGGCGCACGGTCCTGGAATCAAATTCTGGATAGGCTCCCGCCCTGGCCAACCTAAGCCTTCTACCCTACGAGAATGGTAAACTGGTACCAGACTCGTCTTTGAGGATATAATAAATGACTTGTAAATCAGGCTGGTCCACGCTACTCTTGATGGAAGTGAACCGCATCGCAGAGGGATTAATCAACGGCGAAGACTTTACCCTTCATCCTTCATTCGCTATTTGTTTGCTGTTACTTTTGTTTTAGTATTGGAATTCTTCGGCGCAGTTCGGCGACGGGGGCATTTTGCACTTTCGCTGCTTCAACAGTTCCGGTTTACAAGTCTCACTCTGGTGAAACCTGTGAACTCTTGTGAAGCTAGAGCAAGCTCGTCGAGCCATCATGGTATAATCTGTTAACCCAAGAAAAGGTTCAGCAGACCGAACTGCAGAGCTGCAGCAAAACTTCAATCATTAGATGCAGACCAAAGCACAAAACAGAGAGGCTTATTTTGAAGAAACGCCCACGTATGCCGGACAGTCTCCTAGACAGGACTTTCCTGCAAGTGAGCACTGCCTGCATTGCAAGCCAGTAGCTTCCTACAACCTCTCCCAACGAGGTCGATGCAATGTTTCTTCTTACTCAACTTTTTGGATTCACTGACTACATGCCACTTTGCTGTCGTCCAGATCTGGGCGGTAAGCAACTGGAACAATTTCCAGTAAACGCAAGGCTGATGGTGAGCGCTATCACGTAGCCGTTTACATGTAGATGATTCATTCCTCCGCCTCAGCTCTCCAAGGGTTACGGCTGATTTTCAGTGAAGAAAGATTATTACCTGCATCACAGTAAGGACCGATGAACACTTTGACTTTCTGCAGATGGTACATATCGGCGGCCACGGCTACACCTTCAAACGACTCACCACAACCGTTTTGAGAGACGATCCTGATTGCATACAATTCGTAGAGGAACACGTAAATATGTTTGAAAGTCACTCACTCAACATCGAAATCGTCATCGAGTATTCGCTCATTCCGAAGTGATAGCCGCGACAATCCTAGCACTACACCATCGTTTCTCAATGCGTTCAGTGCACCGATGTGACCAATTTTAATGCGAATCCGCCCTGAAGTAAAGTAAATAGTGCATTTCTACTCATCTTTCGAGGGGAAATCCAGGATGTCTAATGGTTCAAGTGATCCCTCCTTTTTGCAGCGCCTTCCCTTAGTGCTCTAGAAATGATCACTGACAATGGGACAGGCACAATACATGGGCCTCACCACATATTAGAACCTTGACTGGTATTTGAGTGTGGACCAATACATCTCAGTTCCACGGGAAGACAGCTGGCTTTACGGACAGAACCACTGACCAGGGAGGTCGTTCAGAACGTGGAGCGCTCTTTGAAAACGGTTTTTTCATGATGTAGGATCACGTGTAGAGTGCCAAAATGGCGCTCTTTTTCTTCACGCCTCTGGGAATACCAAAGAAAGGCGCTCCACATTCTGAACGACCTCCCTGGTGAGCGAGCTAGTCAACTCGAGGGAAGCAGAAGCAGGAGAGTTCAACTTGCCGTAGCACTGGTACTTCGGGGGCACTGGGCCTTGGTAGGGATGCAGTGTGGGTCATCCCCTGTGCAGCGCCTATTTTGCCGCATTGACATGATTTGCATGTAGCGCTCCACAGCCCTTGGTAGTCTGAATCAAAACATAACATTCGTTGCTCGTTTTCCTAACCCTGGTCTTGACGATTATCTTTTTGAACGTGTAGGGGCCCAATATGTGTTCTCAAGTGCGAGGAATTCTGGCAGTGGACGAAGGGATTGTCTGAGGCAGGCAGCGTATTTTCTTTAGAGCGAGTAGCAACTACAGGTGCCGTTCTATAGGTGGTTGTCAATTTCGCCCTCGTTCA